AGTAGCAAATCCATGGAATTTTTTTACGAGAGAAGCTGTGTCACAGTCACAGAGACGTACAGCACAGAAACAGACCCTTCGCTCCAACTCGTCCATGCCAACAAGATATCCTAAAATAATCTAGTCCCATTTGCCAGAATTTGGCCTATATCCCTCCAAACACTTCCTATTCATGTACCCATCCAGATGTCTTTTAAATGTTGTAATTGTACCAGTCTCCACCAGCTCCTCTGGCAGCTCATTCGATACATAACACCACCCTCTACATTAAAAAGTTGCCACTTAGTCCCTTTTAAAATCTTTCCCCTCTCACCTCAAACCTATACCATCTAGTTTGCACGTCCCCACCCCTGCGGAAAAGACCTTGGCTATTCACCCTATCCATGCCCCTCAATTTTATAAAGGCCTACAAGGTCACCGCTCAGCCTTCAGCGCTATAGGGAAAACAGCCCCAGACTTTTCAGCCTCTCCCTATCGCTCAAACCCTCCAACCCTAGCAACATTCTTGTAAATCTTTTCTAAACCCTTTCAAGTTTAACAACATCTTTCCTATAGCAGAGAGAACAGAATTGAATGCAGTATTCCAAAAGTGGCCTAACCAATGTCCTGTACAGCCATAACATGACCTCTCAACTGTTATACTCAATGCACTGACCAACAAAGGCAAGCGTACCAAATGCCTTCTTCACTACCCTGTCTACCTGAAACTCCACTTTCAGGAAACTATGAACCTGCACTCCAACCTCTCATTCTTTGGCAACACTCCTCCGGACCTCACCATTGAGTGCAATACTCCTGCCCTGAATTGCCCTGTCAAAATGCAGCACGTCACATTTATCTATATTAAACTCCGTGTGTCACTCCTCAGCCCATCGGCCCATCTGATCAAGGTCCCACTGACATTAAATATATTCAAGGCTGAGATAGATAAATAATCACTAAGGGAATCAAAGGTTATGGGATGGGGTAGGATTGTGGAGTTGAGGATTATCAGATCAGCCTTGTTCTCACTGAATGGCACTGCAGCCTACTTCTACTCTTACAGCTTATGATTTTATGGTGCATCAGAAGCTACATGTATCATGACAGAGGGCCCTGTTCTTCACAGGCTTTAGGAACAAATACACACACTGCATCTGTTTCAGTGCAACAAAATAGGTGACAGCCACCCTCTGGTTCATTTCCCAAGGCTATGTCTTGTCAAGACAGTCAACCAGCCTGGTTTAAAATTTAGTTTAAGCATAGACAATCTAACCACCACTGCTTGACATTCAATGCCTGTACCCCCACCCAATTAACTCATGCCCTGACTCCCCAAAGCCCGTCCACAATCTATAAGGGGCAAGTCAGGAGTGTGATGGAATACTCCCCACGTGCCTGGATGAATGCAGCTCCGATAACACCCAAGAAGCTTGATACTATCCAGGACAAAGCAGCCCGCTTGATTGGCACCACATCCACAAGTATCCACTTACTCCACTGCAGAAAATTCACCAAAGGTCCTTATACAGCACCTTCTAAACCCACAACCACTCCCATCTAAAAGGGCAAGGACATCGGATACATGGGAACACCATCTCCTGTGAATACCCCTCCAAACCACTCACCATCCTGATGGGGAAATATATTCCTGTTCCATTGTTGTTGCTGGGTCAAGAGTCTGAAATTCCTGCCCTAAGGGCACTGTGGATCGACCTACAGCACATGGACTACAGCAGTTGAAGAAGGCAGCTCACCACCACCTTCTCAAAGGCAACTTGGGATGGGCAATAAAAGCTGGTCAGCCAACAAAACCTACATCCCATGAGTGAATAAAGGGCGAGGCATTGGTCTAGTGATATTATTGTTACACAATAATCCAAAGACCCAGGCAATGTTCTGGGAATGTTGGTTGAAATCCCATCATGGTCCATAGTGGAATTTTAATTCAATAAAAAATAAAATCTGGAATTAAGAGTCTAATGATGATCATAAAATCATTGCCGATTGATGGAAAAACCCATCTGGTTCACTAATGTCCTTTAGGGAAGGAAACTGTCACCCTTACCTGGTCTGGCCTACATGTGACTCCAGACCCACAGCAACATGGTTGACTCTGAACTGCCCTCTGGGCAATTAGAGACAGGCAGTAAATGCTGGCCTAGCTAGCAATGTCAACATCCCATGAATGATGTTAATAAAAAAATAAAATTCAGAGTGCACTTGCTAACTAATTAGCACTCTCCTTATACAATAATAATGCTGTTTTCATTTGATTTTGATTTCTCTTGCAAGTTACGCTGATAAATGCAAGACGAAAAGATTCAACAAAATCTGACTTTTCTCAGGAATACTATCCATTCACTTATTTCACAGCACAGTGACCCACACCATATGCACTGCCATGATTCAAGAGGATGGGAATTAGGAATGGGCAACGAATGCTGACATTGTCAGAGATACCCAAATCTCAAACAAATATAGAAAACATAGAAAACATCACTGTGAAAGGCATCACAACCAAGCCTAATCTTGAGTTTAACTAAAATCCACACTACCTTTTAGAAGCAGTGACTGATTAATCATGTTGAATATTGAAGGTCCCTAAAGACTTAATTTTCCTAGTATTTACTGCCCACCCCAAGATTCATTTATCAGCTATCACAGCAGTACTTGACTTTCCAAAATTCTAGAAGATGAAAACAAAGGGTAAAATTTTTTTTAAAAGTGGTCATGACACCCATTGAACTAATGTCAACGATGTATCTGGTGCCAAATGCACCCTACTGTCAATGTGCTGTTTTTGAAAATAAATAGTATTTGTTCTTAGAAAGAACAGCAAACTAACCCACAGATGAGGACGGCCAAAGGCACAACAATCATTTAACATCATGAGTTGGCCAAAGGGTTCAAACAATTGATTGAGACTGTGAAAGCTACCTGCCCCTAGAAATATGATAGAACAGTACGTGCAGGCTAAGAGAGAAGACTACTCAGGACAGAAGGTGCTGGGGGAAGCCCACAGGGGCTAGGACAATTCCACACGGAGATAACTTCTTTGACCTCAACGCAGTTAGAGAAGCCACATCCGTGCTGGAAAACCTATGCAGGGGCCAAGACAGTTATGGGGCCAGATTCCGCACTAGAGTAACCTGGCTGGAGATAGGTCAAGTCCATGCAGCGACCACGAATAGAACAGACCTGGGGCAGAGGGGAGTTCTCATCAAAAAGACCTTGTAGGCAGCAGTTCTTTTTCAGGATGGTACCCAGAGAGCAGTCTGCATCAAGCAGTCCTTACTAGGCAGATGGAAGATGGACCAGAAGGACAGGAGGAAGACTGAGGGACAAGTTCCCTAGCACCTCAGCTAGACAGCAGGATGCTGCCAACAACTTTAACAAGACTGAAACATTCCATGCTGAACAGCCTGTTTGGCCTCTGATATCAGTGAACCTGATATCAGTGAATCATTACCAATTGTCACAGATGTATACTTTCTAACTAACTAAAGTATCATTTCTAAACTACTGCTTCTTAAACTCAAACTATCAGAAACTTACAAATCCCTGACTGCCTAACTGTGATCACAAACCCCCTAAGAGCAACAGTTGGGAACAGAGGCACTTCAGTCCAGTGCTGGAGACAAATGTAACACTCTACCTCAGATGAAGTAAGCTAACTTAGCACAGACTTCGCACAATACCTTGCAGTCTGTTTGCTGGATAATATATGAGCAATTCAGCCTTGTGGAGCAGGCACGGGTCATATGGATGGTGTTACTGTTATACTTTTACTGGCTCACCTGCCTTGCATGAATAATGGCTCACATGAGCTGCATGCTCTCAGTATATTGGCCATACCTCTGTGCCAGTAAAGTGTGTTGTAAAGACTGTCATTTTATTTTTCTGAATTTTCGATTGTGGCCTGAAATGGGAAGAGGACCTTTCTAAAAATAAAAAACAAGGATTGTTGCACATTTTGAAAGCAAATAACCTTACACTCCTTGGGAGTGCAATTTACACAATTGCTTGCTGTCAAAGTCTAGTTACAGACAAGCTGGAACCAGGAGGCCGAGTACGAATGAAGATTTGGCCAATAACAAGTAACTGATTATCTGATAACTAATTCACTGACCATTGATCATAAAAGCCATCTGTTTGCCAACAGCAATGAGATTGGCTCCCAGGAAGCTGAACAGTTTAGGGGTCCAAATGTTTAAGGCAGAGTAATTAAACTCCCAAAACGAAAAGGTTGTGATTCTGGTCTGCTGTAACAAAACATCTTAAGCCTGAAGAAAGCCAGTTTATGTTTCCCTCATCAACTGTTTTAAGTTGTGGCTCTTAACCAGCAAGCCAGAGACTTCAACTTGCTTGCAGAAAGTTGGCTGGTGCACACTTATAAAATATCTGAAGGAGAATCAAGGAGCGGCACATCCTAACAAACCAATAGAACCCACCTCAGTGAACCCTGAGAACATGGACTGCCTTCCCAGTGTTTCCCACTGCCCATCACACCCATATTTCTTTCCTGCCCGTGTCTGTCTGTTTTCTCTCCAACAGCATTTTTATAAAGGGGTTAGAGTTTTAACAAGTAGAGTTATATGTTGACAGTTCATAACTGTTTATCTGTAGTTAGAATCTATTTATTTGTAACTAGTCATTTTTGTTTGTGTACTTCAGAAAAATTTCTAACTTTTGAGACTACTCTGGGAATAGGGGAAATAGATTTCCAGGGCAATGCCCCAGTGAGGTGTAACAGCCGCAATAAACAGCTTCTAAACCACTACCCTTTACTTTTCCTTTTAATATTTTACTGTGACTTTTAAGATAAACATCAGCCTCTGGACTATTTCCATTAGTAAGAGTGATTGCGCACAAAGGTTACAAATAGATCACAAGCTCACTCATTTGAAAGAAACTCAGCATCCTAACATTCCAAAGAATTTCTAATACTCAGAAATCCGAGTATCACATGATGTATTCAATGAGCATGTAGGTTGACAAGGTTATCCAATTAATATTACCTGCAAAGCTGTGCTTCGTAATTCAAGGCATGTTGCAATTTTGCCAAGTGTTTTCTGCGAAAGACAGAGAAGCACCGTTAAATCTTCTGGAAAAGAGGAAGAGCATTCACAGGCAAAAGCAATACAGTCTTTCAGAGGTATACATTTTGTTAATTCTTAGATACCTTAAAACTACAATCAACTGACTCTGAAACACATTTACATTTCACACACAAGATTTTGCAAGTGCTATTGAAACGAATAACAAATTAAACTAATCTAGGATACTGAATGGTTATTAGGCATGGTGAGAACATCTCTGTTTCAAAAAGTATCAAACGATCTATACATACAACCTAACCAGCCAAAACAAGCAAATCAGGGTCATTCTAATAATTATTCTTCCCATTGCTCTGATGAGTGACAGGTCTTTGGCTCTCAATTTCTGTAGGTTTTCCATAGCTCCTGCGATTATTGTGATCGAAAATGACAAAGTTAACCCATTTATTCTGTAGCCGGTCTTTTTCTCTGTGTAGCTGGCCGCAATTCAACACAGCATGAATAAATTCTTGGTTTGCACCAAATGCTTCACTTATTAGGGTGGGAATGGAAACATTTTAAATTACCAGACACACACTCTTGGATCTCAGCTCCTGGCATCATACTGTATTGGATCTACATGTAGTTCCTTTTGATCTTTTCACCTTAGCAGGCATACCATGCCTCTCCAATTCAGGTTTTGACATGGCTAGACAAAAATGTAACTTTAGATGTCAATATTTCAGAATTTGTTGAGACCACCACTATATTCAATTTCATAAACAAAGTTGCTGGAAAAGCCCAGCACGTCTGGCAGCATCTGTGAAGGAAAAAACAGAGTTAACGTTTCGGGTCCGGTGACCCTTCCTCAGAAGGTCCTCAGGTTCTGAGGAAGGGTCACCAAACCCGAAACGTTAACTCTGTTTTTTCCTTCACAGATGCTGCCAGATC